GATTGTTAAGGAAGAGTGAAAGGAAGCTCTCCAGGTTAGGATGATTTGGTCCCCTGATCCCAGAAGTTCAAAACACCACAAATCATGTCAATTTGGAATAAAATTTCTGCTATAATTGATCACTACTTGTTGGCCGTTATCTGCGGGACTCCTTTTGTCAATAACTTCAAAGAATCCAGTTCCTCTTACTTATACTGCTGTTAACCAGGCCACAAAAGCCACGAAACGTCCATAGAGCGTGATTGCAACACTTGGCAAATGGGCCACAACTCATGAGAGGATTTTTTTTTCTTGGGCAAGAACTGCTCTTGGACTTTGCTACCTGCTGGATCAATCTCACTTCAAACACCAATAATTCAATTTTACCTTCGTTCGAAGAAACATTTTGCTTCTTTAAAATGTGCTGATGACTTATGGGTTTATCAAGTCTTCATGATGCCTCTCAACCACCAGGCTTGCAAGCATGCAAGGTATTTTAAAAGAGCACTTAAGAGCATCATATCTCTTTTCTGTTTGATGGGATTTCCAATTCATGTGTTGTTTCACATCACAATAACCAATTTAATTACAACCCGGTTCCCAGGTTCTGACTTAATTTCCTATTTTCCTTCAACTTACAAGAGGACAGCTGTAAGATTCTGAGAGACTTGATTTTGACTTTGAACACTATAAACAGAAGCTTCATTTTATATGCTGTTAATTAATGCAATTTAACAAAGTCAAGGTGGCTAACTACAGTTTTGATGGATTATAATGGCCCAACCTATAACTCTTTTGAAAAATGTTCCAAGATGTTTTTCCTTTCTCTATTTATAATGGTAATAGGACTGAGTGGAGTCCAATTTGGTCTGTAATCATATGCAGGAGTCCGATTTGTTAATCATGAGTATGATTACAGACTGAATTGGACAACACGATGTCCTGTTACCAATTAATCAAAACTAGGACAAAGTTCGAGAAACGGACAAACCATCGATTGATCGCTGAACGATTAAACGTGGTTATGAATGTTGAAAAACACAGCAGTTTACTCATCAAAGTGCAC